GTAGATTACTGTTGCCCTCAGCTTTGTTTACGTAGAATTTTTTTAGATATTTTTAGCCGAATAAATTGGTAACTTACTTGGTTTAAAGCTTTATGCTAATTTATTTTATAAACTAAACCAAGACTACCACTTAAATAATAATAATATAGATATATTTACACTTATCGTATAGCGCGAAAATTTAACAAAAAGAGAATCAAGTGCAAAGATAACCTTCGCATCGCACCTTTGACGTAATAATTACTCTAATTGGAAGAAAAGAGCTTTGTTTGAAAAGTTCAATGATAAGGAGGAAACGATATTTTTTTCGAACATTTGAATCACAAAGCAATGCTACAAAAATAAAAGAGCATTTTTTATAGAATAAGGGTGACTAACGCGCACACAGTTCACCTGGTGGTAAGGGGATGCTGTGGCCCATAGACATCTACATTTATCCTCGATTATTGAGAATCAAAATGCAGATGCGTTGTCACTCCTGAGGACTAAGATAGAATGCTTTGTTTCCAGTAAAAAGGGGTCTCCGGATCTCTACATTCACCATACGAAACACAGCAGTATTAAGCTGCTATTTTACGCTGGTATTCTGTGAGAGCGTGGTTTTACCCCGATCGAACCGACCTATTCGTGCTACAACCATAATATAGCTGCAGCGTGCATGACTCTACCACGTATAAAAGTATGATGTCTTTGAAAATCATGAAAGCAAGCCATTTTAAATGATTTAAAATGATCATCTTCTTCTTAATCATCTTTTCCATATCAGTACGCAAAACTTCCCCTGCTGGATAGGCCTCTTCTTTGTAGTGTGGATTAGTCTTGATTGTCACGCATGGCTGGCAAATTTCCCAGAACCACTTCTAGCACTTCGGATGCTGCTACCCGTCCCCGGTCTAAGTATTTAACGTCTGCCATAAAAGAAACATGTAATGGTTATATCTTCATCTATTGGAAGCTGAAAGGTTATTTCGCATTTCCATAATCGTCCTTTATGACACGCTCGGGAGTAAATAGGATGGATGATGTTTTGATTTCATAAAAGATCCAAAATTCTTACGCCAAAACACCTGAGTAACGTCAAATAAATTACACTGTTATGCCAAACTTCAAGACAATAACGATAGTAAAGAATTACTTAGAAAAATAGTCGTAACACATAGTACCTAATTTGTAGAACATTAGACGGACAAACGTGTCAAAAAGGTTTCATTTAGATTTTTTAAATATACAACCCTAATATTTATATTTACATGTTTTGCGAAATTACGCCAGCCAAAAAAAGCAATTAATCAAAGCCAGATATTTCATTTTTTACTAAAAAAATTACGGAAGACCAAACAGCGCCACGAACTTAAAGTGAGAACCATGATCGTTTTTTGTTGTCATTGCAAAGTAAACTATTTCAATAAGGTAAAGAGTCCCATTTTCTCTGCGTCCTACAGCCACTATTCGTTTAATCATTGTCATGTCTACCATTCCTGTTAACCACATATCCTAAATACAGCAGCTCATCCACTTGACCAACAAAATCCCTGCCAAACGTGGCAACTACGGCAAATGTCCCATTTATGAGGCACACTACGGGAATGGTCTGTGAGCAGTTTTGGACTTATAGATGGGTTGTATGTAGTAGTCGTACCAGATACTTGACTCCACCGAGTCAGTAATTCATTCTTGGGGCGATGTATACACTTTTATAACAAAATCCCAGAAAATGTATTAAATTTGACCTGCTCAAAGATTCAAAAACTTTATTTAATAAAGAAAAGGTTATTATAACATTAAGAAATAATGAATGACAATAACCCCTGGGAAAGATGATCGCTACTAAGCTATTTCTAATTTGTTCTGTGTTGTTTAATTATAATTTATAACATTCATGATCTTGCTGGTTCTTCCCAGGACAGAGGTTTTTTTCCGAACCAGTGGTAATTTAAAAAAAATGTGACTTTCAATAGGTTCTATTTATCAACTATATTAAATAGAGTTTCTGTTTCTTGTTCAATCAATTCCCTATCTGTTCTCATTTCAAATAACGTTATATTTTCTTCTCTTTCAAGAATTGTTGTCGTCTTACTTGTATTCATTTTCATTCCCCTTTCTTTTAATAATATATTCATAAACTTAACCATCATTTTCACTTGCTCACCAACATGCAAATATACATATTAGGACTTGCTCTTCAGCGTCTTTTTTCGACTCTCAAAATTTCCAAACAATTGTACATAAACAGATTGAAACACCCACGGCTATATCAACAACCATGTCACACCTTTTTAGATGCCAAACCAGTCTGTACAAAACAAGCACTCGAGTCCCTATAGAAATATTTTAATCCCAAATTAATATCTTATAGATTCCCTTTGCCATTTTACAAACACGCATGTTAATTATAATAAGAAACGTACCTAGGTAAAACTAAGTAAGGTATCTAGTTTTCTAGAGCTAGTAGTGGCTAAATTTGCTATTGAGTAAATATGTATATAGATTCGCGGTCAAAGGAAAATAAAACCATTATATAGGGTTTGTTTGAACCAAAGGCGGCCACTTTGAATAAAAATGGTTAAAATTTCGATAATTATGTTCACATAAGTTTTATTATTATTATTGCAATATATTCCATAGGAAAGATATGCATTTGAATGTGAAACGGAGTTAAAGGCTATACTATTATATTTTTTCCAGTGTCCGATGATACACTATTTTAATAGGTGTTTATTACGAAACAAAGCCTTTACTACGGCTAAGGATCAAAGGCTGTCACTGAATGTCTGTAAGGTTGTCAACAACTGTGTAAATTCAAAAATCTTAGTATGCGAAGAGTCCACAAAAAGATTTATCTCAAAACTGTTCATATGTTTATTCGTACGAAACATGTTTTTATCAAGTGGTCGCATAATTAACAAACGAAGGCCTTGAACTGTATAAAGCAAATATGAATGCATTGCATCACTCTTAAATAGAGCGGATGATTCGTCATGCAAACAGATAATTTTATTTTATAGTCATGTTATTTAATAACAAAAAAATATTATATTTGTATTAAACTATTAGAATCTTTATTAATCGACGGAAAACTTTGAAGAATAGGTTTTTATCCGATCTGTGCCCCTCAAACCTATAGAGCCCCGATTAAAAACCCTCATAAAGCGCGCGAGAGAAAATTGCAGATGGAAATGATTATAAAAAGAAAAAAATCACGAAGCTGTATCGATTTTTTTCAAGAACAATATAAGGACTTTTTTTATAGAATACTACTGTGCCCCGCGGTTTCACCCGCGTATACCACGCGTCTGAGGCGCCAGACCATGAGACCTCGCTTATTGAGGCGCGTTCACTCTTGTTTTCTCTCGGTTCTCATCGGGCGGAGGAGCTTATTAATTATTTATTATATATGGCGTACGCTCGCCTAACCGTGTGACGGTTCGCGTATTGCATTTTTGTACGCGTAATAATTTCGAAATTAAATGTCGGATTCGAATTAATTAAAAAGTATTTTACTGGTACATAAATACCCTTGATGATAAAACTATTTATATGAATGAGAATTAATACTACCATACGAATGTAACCAACTGTTGTTTCTACCGGCGATCTACCAAAATTTTGAAATACAAAAGCTACTATAGTGACTTAACTATGAGAGTTAGATATTACATTCCCTCGCGGAATTTTTGTAGGTAATAATGAGTTCTTTAATCATTTATTACATAATTTTTGTGTATCGTTAATAGTTTTCTCAACGCATGCCAAATAATGATTTTTATAAACAAAAGTTTGCTATTTTAAGTTACATTATTGCAATTTTCTTAAGGATCTCTAATTTTTTGACAATAAATTATAGCCTATGTTACTTCCCGACGATTAAGCTTTTTACTGGTGAAAAAATGGTTAAAATCGGTCAAGTAGTTTCGAAACTTATACGGTACAAACAAACAAACAAATATTTCCTCTTAATAATATTAAAGTATAGAAGGGTGACAAACTGGCACACAGTCCACCTGATGGTAAGTGGACGCTGTGGCCCATAGGTAGTCAAATTTCGGGAACGTCGAAAGGAGTTTTTAAAAACTAAACTACAACTAAATTAATACGTCTCACCGATTTGGAGGTGGCTTTAATAATGGATAATTTTAAAGAGTCTGTTCGTACGCAGACGTTCGACTCATCAACTAAGTACCAGGAATCTTATATAAAATGCTGATGTGTTAGTTTTATTGCTCAGCCTAAACAATACAATATAATATATTTTAATATATTAGTCTAAAACAGAGGGACGGGGTGTATCCATAACTAGGTATCTACATTTATTTTATCCTCGATTAAAAATCAAAATGCAGATGCGTTGTCACCTCTGTGGACTAAGATGGAATGCCTCGTTTCCGGTAAAAACGGTCTTCGATTCTCTACACTCACCATACGAGACGCCGCAGCGTGGTCCTACCCCGCTCGGGTATTGAGTAGCCTTTGAGTGTTTGGTACATTGATTTATATGTTACACTTAACTCAATGATTTGGTAGATAGGCAGGCTGGTAGAGAATGCCTTAGCCATTAAGTCCGCATACATATCACGTGTGTATATAAAGTTTAAAATAAATAAATAAATATTTGGCCATAAGTGTCGGAAAAAAGTAGAAAAATGTTAATGTATGTCGTAACTATATAGACGACGTTCTAGTTGCCACCTTTAACTTGTGTCTTAAACTTAAAAAAAAGTAAAAAGCCATCTTTAAAAAGTAAAGAGAGTACCTACCTATAATTATTTCCCCATAATTTGATAACTATTTATTAATGATCTTACTGCGTATTTGCTCCCTTCTTATGAGAAATATCTTATCTCTGTCAAACATGTTTACCATTCACTAGGTAAGATTGAAGATAATAAAGATGTTTGGTAAGATTTTACTATAAAACTAAACGCTGTTTTACGGTATGGTACAATTACCTATGTACCTATTTAAATGATTTCGTGTTGTGTAAGAGCAATTTAATCAAGAAAATGAGGGCTCTTTTGACTGTACTTTGTCTTACAATAACGGTAAGTTATGTAGTTATATTAATTGTAAAATAATATAAAATTCTTCAAAATTGTTCTTAATCGAGAAACTAGAAGTCTTGTTTAATAGTAATACAGAATCCTAATAGATTGTATTCAAACAATATTTCTATAAACTATTGTACCTACGAATAGTATAAAAATCTACAACGCCAGTGAACAATTAATAGATAATTCTTATACCTATATTTTTATTAATTTGACCAATGGGCCTCCATTACAATATATCTTTCTTTTTGTCTAAGTGGAAAATGAAACTTAATGAATAAAGTAAATTCCTATATAAAATAATTTCCACCGATAATTGCACCGACTTCGGAACCGCTTATGTGGAAACTGGAAATTATACTACGCCTTTAGCGCAAAGCGCGTAGGTATGTTCTACTATTTTATTACTTCTACTTCTTTAAAGTCGATTTATAATTTTTATTAAAAATAAATATCATCAGTTCGAAGTTCGAACTTTATCCCCTACTTTGCATCCTTAGCGATGAAATTTTTTCCTCCAAATGCATAACTCTGAAGTATAACCTGTTTATTTTTAAAATGATCATTAAAAATCCACAGTTAATGAAGATTTAACATACATACAACATAATTAATAGAATCCGGTGGTTTTTCGTGAAAATAATTTATAATAAAGATTTAAAAAATTTGTCTAAGGTCCGCGTAATAAAAATACATTTCACTTATCGGTCAGCCATCGAGTCTATTTCTCCTGATGATGCCTCATTTAGAGGCCAAGTACGTGTCGTATTACTGACGGATCTTACCTAATTAATTTTTAACGTATTTATACACGACAAAAATATGGTTGACCATACAGGACATCCCTGTAATGGTCGCCGCACACGGTCAGTTCAACTGATCATTCCCTCTGATCATTTCAAACTAGGACTGTTGATATTTTTTTAATATCGAATTTTCGATATATCGATATTTATAAATGTATTAATATCGGAGTTTTACATATAAGTTTATTTATCGATATATCGAAAATCCGATATTTTAAAAAATATCAACAGTCCTAGTTTGAACTGATCAGTTGGACTAACCGTGTGTGTCATCCATAACCTCCCGCTAATTTCGAATGCAAAGCACTCCAAAGTCCACCTATCGAACTCGAAGGGCTTAAATACTTTATAAAATTTTGAAGAGAAATCGTTGTCGAAGTTTATCGACAACGATTAAAAGGAGTAGTTATCGACAGGTCGAAGGATGAATTCCAAACCCAAGACTTTTTTAATTTGGAAAAAAGTTCCATCCCTAAGGGTGGGTAAATAGGCAAAGAAGTTTTAATCTAACTATTTAGAAGACATTCGAGCTTTTGATATTTCTTAGTCCACTCAAAATGATTAAAACATTAGACATTCAATAAAAAGTTAAAGTCATCATAAAATAATTAATATTACTATTATAACAATTACTATTACTTCAGAAGTCGGAGCTTAAAGATTTTTATACACCATGTAGTAGCACCGAACCGTCTACGGACAACACCCGCGTTCGTCGCCTAGGCATCAATTATAGCGGTGAAAGTGGGACTAATATGCTCTGCTCCAAAGTCCAGCTTTGCTGTGGCTGATAATCCCAATTCCAATCCACATTCACAAGATATCCCAATCCACAAGAAAATTCATAGCCAAGCCACTATATGCGATTAAGATGTCTGCCACTTTCCTGACTCCCTCTTTGCTTCTGCGATATCACCTGCTCGCAGCAGTTAACACCTCTCACATCTAACTATGGTAATCAGGGCCGGAAGCGAGAGGTCGTCCCCTACTACAGCCACGAGATCACGACGCAGGTCAGCTCAAGTAGAGCACTCAAACGTATACTGCGCAGTATCCTCGTCCCTACCACAGTGTTATCAATTAGTTGTCGGCTGCCTTTCGGAAATAGGGCACTATTTTATACGTGATAGAGCCATTCTGCAACTATATTATGATTGTAGCACGAATAGGTCGGCTCGATGGGGGAAGGAGCACGCTCTCACAGAATACCAGCGTAAAATAGCAGCCCAATGTTGCTGTGTTTCGTATGGTTAGTGTAGAGAACCGGAGACCTTTTTTACTGCAAACGAGGCATTCTATCTTAGTCGTCAGGGGTGGCAACGCATCTTCATTTTGATTCTAAATCGAGGATTGGTGAAGATGTCTAAGAGCCACAGCATCTATGTACCATCAAGTAGACCGTGTGCTCGTTTGGCAACCTTATTCGATAAAAAAGGTACTTCCCATAGTACCTATGTCCAGAAAGCATCTTCACCAGCCGGAAGGTCAGTCACACGTACCGCCTGTTTACCCAGTTTGAAAGGAGTTTTTATGTATGATCGTCTGGTACTGCGGTTGTCAATACGCCTACTGCAAAGCGTAACGATAAAGGTAAATCCTCTCTACGCCGGGGGAGCCCTATGTCCAGCTGTGCACACTTACGAACTGATGAAGAAGAATACATATGATATATTTTATATGAGGAATAATTACGATAGCATAATGGTTAAGGATTCGAACTGCAAACTCGGAAAGACGTGAGGTTTGAAGAGCAGTTTTAAGCTTTCTCGAAGTGGTTAATATACATAATACTCCCATATTAGAAAAGTTGACAGCGTTTGTTAGTATTGCTTTTTTTAATGTAGGTAAATAAAACTTACTAAACGTAATAACTGATTACTTTATTGCATCTTTCAGATCTGCTTGTCACATGGCAAACCACCTGTTCCAAATTCTTTAATTATTCGGCAGCGTCGTGAGTCAGATGTTTTCGGAAATACAAGGTATAATAAAAATATATAACATAATAAAAAAAGTACATATCTATTTGATGTAAAAATTAGACGTATAGTCAAAATTGGTGTCAATTAGTGACAACAAAAAAAGTGATATATCTTCAATACTTTAGAAGAAATAGCCTTTTTTGAGAGGATTCTAGCTTGAAATCAAGCTAGCAGCTTCCCCTCGAATACACCAGAAGGTATTGTTTGCGTCTGAGATGTGAGTCCTGTTAAAAGATTTAGTGATGTCATGTACTGCGATTGAAATATATTACTCCAACAGAGCGGAAGTTATTCATGTCATGTCTTAGTGAGGATACTGAGTTGATTATACATTTGTGGAATTTAGTTTATGCCCATAGAAAATAACTAGCAACCCAGAAGCTAACGCTTCCGTTTCCGAGACCAACTCTCACTCTCTTGCTTCAAAACTCTTGCGACGGTTACATGTAGTTTGAGTGCGTAGTATATAATTACTCTATACACCCTTTTATGGTTACGGTAATTTTATAATTAAATAAGTTAACATTTATACCTATTGTTGTAGGAACCATATCTATTGTAATAAATTACCGAACATTGGTTTTTTGGTGTCAACCTTTTCACCAAATATCTATTATCATAGAATGAATCCCGAAATCCTACGTCTTTCGCTGTTAAATGTGTGTCAAAATATAGTGACTAATAATGTGACTACTAGTTTAAAAAATTAATATTATTTATCAGGTAGAACTTAGTGAAAAAGATGCGAAAGTGATGTATAGTTGTAGCATTAAACTGCTTATGACAAATTAATAATAGGCAAAATTTGATAATCACATAGCATTTATTTCGTTCTAAAAGTTATACTACATAATAAAATTACCATTAGATTGGTGTAAATTAATAGCTAGTTTTTAGTATTAATATAATATTTAATAGTATAATAAATTCTTATTAATCGTACATAACTACACATAAATTCGTCATAAATAAAGAACCAAAATACATACACATAAAGTTGCAGGTTCAACTTAAAAAGTAGATCTACTTTTACAAAAATGCTGAAAGAAAAATAAGGTTTAATATATTAAATTTACATGTAATATATAAATAAAATAGATGTAAATAAATAAGATAAATGTAATGTACGCGGAATGATTAACTTGTTGAGTTAAAAATATAAAAAAGTAAAATACTAACACTATTTTATAACAAAATGTAATATGTAAGTGTAACATTGTCAAGCGTAGTTAGGTTACGAGTAGAGTTGTCCTCTGTGCTAACTACTAACGTGTAGTTAAGTACGTGTAAACGATCAATATCGGATGGGTTAAAATCAACATAAAAAAATAAAGGTAAAAGGTGTAACATTGAAATTCTTTCCCTTTAATGATGGGACGTTAAAAATTAGGAACATTTTAAAATTACATAAATTGATCATTTAACCGGCGCGGCGGTTATGAGACATCCAGCGAACGAATTGAAGGAACATAAAAATAAAAGAAAACGTACCTACAGCCACAATCCTTATACTGTTCTTGAAAAAGAATCGGTCCAGTTTTGGTGGAGGAAACAAGAGAATACGGGTGATGATTTCGTCAAGTTTAAGCTTTTATTTATCGTGCTTTCTTCTTGTCTTTCCGGTTAAAATTTTATAATCAAAGCAGCGTTGTCTCTTGACGACAGTGCTTAAAACCTATTATTCACATGTATGCAGAGCATGCAGCAAATATATTGTCGTATAGCAAAGTACGAGGGTGACACTGAAAGTTCTTAGAAAATCAAAAACAGAACAAACTAGCAAGTTATATATATCTTTTCAAAATAGTGCCCATTTAGATCAATACATCGCTGCATCCGATGGAAAAATTGAGAAAAGCACGTTGCCCACTAGTCCTTAGGGGCCTCGTCGACGGCATTTTGAAACGCGCAGTGGCTGCGTCCTTGGCGTCCATAAAACGGTTTTCTCGAAGTTTTTCTTTTATTTTCGGAAATAAATAAAAATGGCAAGGTGCGAGGTCGGGGCTATAGAGCGGGTGACCCAGTAATTTCACGTCTGACGTCGCCAAGTAGTCGATTGTTTGCTTGGCGGTGTGCGACGAGGAATTGTCGTGATGAAGGAGAATCCTACTGTGAGGTCGTTTCTAACGAACTTTTTCCAAGACAAGTGGCAAACAATTGTTAGTTTTTGCCACTTGTCTTAGAAATTGTTGACCTGTCCGAGGCCACCATCTTTTTCCCACGCTTCGACCACTCTTCACTTTAGTTGGCAACTCCTCGGAAGAAAACACCCAGACAGCAGTCTGTCTCTTAGTTTCAGGATCGTAACAACAAATCCAACTATCGCCACCCGTAAGTATGTCGAACACAGCATTTAAGTCACCTCCGTTAAATCTTTGAACCATTTTACACCAATAAACAGGACGGAGTTTTTGGGCCTTTGTCAAATTATGAGGTATCCACCGGGCACAAAGCTTCCTGCTAAATGTTCATGGAGGATTTTGGTCACTTGACTCATACCGATGTCTAAGCTTGTTCGAATCTGCTGATAAAACACTATTTTGTCAGTCTCTATCATACGCCGCACAACACTGATGTTATCTTCATTCGTCGCCGCAGAAGGCCCTTCCTCAAGCAGATCATCGGTAAGATAAGAGCGACCACGTTTTAAACTCACTAAACTTGTTGTAAACAGCGACACGAGATGGGGATGCATCGTGAAAGGCCAATCGAAGTCTATCATAACTTTCTTGTTGACTTAAATGACATCGAGTCACAAATCACTGTAAAAAAATTTTTCGCGTTTCGTTCGAAATTCATTCTCACGTGACACAGACAATTTTCAATTTGCCGCCAAATCGTAAACAAATAACAAATTAATAAAATACACACAATAATATTGGCAAAGAGTTCCGTTTTCAAAACTTTTACTTATTTTTTTATATTGTTTACCAGTGGCCAGTTCTAAAAACTTTCAGTGTCACCCTTGTAATTTAAATTCATATATAACTAATTGATTTTTTAGTATCATAGTGTATAAACAAATAGCAGCACCTGCACTGCTGAGTTCTGGTCTGAAGGGAATAGAGAGCCAGTAAAATTACAGACTGTGAGGCATTCCATCCTAGTCCTAGTCCTATCCTAGTCCTAAGAGTTGTCAACGCATCTATAGCCTTACTTGTTTGAAGTTGGCTGCAGGTGTCCATGACAGTAGCCACTTACCAGTTTTATATTTTAACATTTTTATTGATTTAATAATTTAACACTTTATAAACATATACATATAACACGTGAAATATAGGTGGACTGCTGTTAACACAAAACATATGTACTCGTATATTTTTACAATATGATATTGTTATTGCAGACAGTTGGTAAAGGAACTGGTAGAAGGCTTGCGTGGATCTGCCCGACAGGCTATGGAGGCAATTGGAAACTTTTCAACTGGTATTCAAAAAGAAGTCAAACTGGTTAACGAGAAAATTAATACGGAAGTGCAGAAGTTACAAGGGCAAATCGACGATGGTATTAAATCTGTTACCGCCAGGTTTACTAACGCTACTGAAATCGTAACAGACTGCGTTAAGGTCAGTCAATGAAATATTATGTATATATAGTTCCACGCAAGTTATAGCTGTCCCGTGTGGTAGCTTAAAGCTGAACGCACATTTGTCAGTACCATACGCGCCCCATTTTGGAATTCGTTGTATGAAATCATATGAAACCTCGCATATTACAGCCGCACTGTACGCGCCGCATTATAATTTAAGTAAAACTGGTACTATTATTTTTATTCTGTATTAAAACTAAAATGCCGTAGGTATCCGAATATTGAAGGATGCATGCTGATAACGTCATATAATGCGATGCGTTCGGCGCTTGCTGATACTCAGTGTTGTTTAATGTTGCCAAATGCAACTTAGTGGATTTTCCACTAAAACTGGTGGTTTCGACTTTCGTTTCGAAATATATTTTTACTTCATTTCAGGAGCATTTACCTTTACTGTGTAGGCAATGAGTCGTCACACAGTACTTTTTATAACTTTTAATTAACACGTAATTAATTACACATAATTTGAAAAAAAAAATGAATAAATATATCAATATGAATACTTAGCGACAAAATAATTTAAATACAACAAAAAAAATTGATACTCAATTTTAATTCAAAAACTCAATAATTATACCTGATTAATTAATTCAATATATATATACATATATTGGCCAAACGAAATTGAAAAAACTGCAAAAGTTGTTAGCAATACAAAAGAATTGCGTACGGCGCGTAAGTACAAATAAATATGCGAGGCCATCCGAAAATGCGGCGCGTACGGCAAATCTTCCCTACAACAGAAAGAATCTTCCCTACACTATTGAAAATGGACCTCATGTACAACAGTGGACTTTACGGGCTGATAAAGAAGAAGACGAATAATAGATATACATTAGGAAGTTGATGTCGATGTTTGAAATCATCATCATCAGTATGATAGTCTTCCAGTTTTTTTTTCCAAAAAATTAACAAACGAACTAACAAGCCACCTGATGACTAAAGCCACATAATTAATATTTGCTAAACAAAATGTACCAGATAAACATAATCCATGACCAATTATCATAATATAAGAACCTAAATAACCTCAATAATTTATTGTCATAATTCCTCCATATAAAATAAATAATTTAAATAATAAAAAAATCCTATTATGTTTAGGAATAATTTATGCTATAATAGCAATTGGTTTATTAGGATTTATTGTTTGAGCTCATCATATATTTACTGTAGGAATAGATATTGATACTCGAGCTTATTTCACTTCTGCAACTATAATTATTGCTGTACCAACAGGTATTAAAATTTTTAGTTCCATGGACACCTGCAACCAAATTTTCTAGAAGTAAGGGTGATAAACGAGCACATGGATCGACCCAATTATTCTTATAAAGTCAGTGGCAAGCTAACTAGCTGTTTACCTGATGGTAATTAGTTACTGCAGCCCATGGATTGTCCATCCATCATTAAATAAGGAAAGAGTCCCTAGTACTGTACTTGGCAGAAAATAAGTCCTGTCATCTAACACCAGAAGTAATTGCTTTGGTGTGTATGTAGCTATGCTGCTATTCATGATTAAGAATAAATATGGGTTGTTACTTCGGACAACTGAGGTTGGAATGTTTCGTAGCATAAAAGAGTATGCGCTTCTATACGCACAAACTCATAAAAACACAGCATCGTTATTCTGTTATTTTGCGCTAAAACTGTTATAGCGTGATCCTTCGAGCCGACCCGAAGTAAAAACAACAAGACTAAGATAGAATGCCTTATTGTCTCTAATTATACTGGCCCTCCATAATATTACACTTGTTATGCATACGTATAAAATTCAATCAAATCTTCACATTTTTAATACCTACAGATAACTTTGCTTATTTCAGTCGCATCAACAACAAGCAGAGGATCTCATCAATCGTACATTTGTCGAAACCAGGGCTTGCGTAGACGACCGAATACAACAACTTAGCTATATGATAGGTAGCCTCGAGGCACAATCGGTCGGCGCACTCGATTATGCAAATAACGTAATCGAAAGTATGAGAAAGTGTACAACAGAGGACACGGAAAATATTATATACATTGGATCTTGTATAGGACCCATTGCGCTGCAAGCTCAAATTAAGAGTATAATATTCATAGCGCAAAGTGGAGTTTCGGTAAGAGAAAGTACAAAATATCCAATTAGGTACGAAGAAATGTGTCTACTACGTCAAGAAGTTATCCAATAAATTTTTCGTTCATTCATTCATTAATTGTTAAAGCCAATTCTATACATAGGCCTTCTTATAGATAGATTCATGGAGTTTAGAGAGAAGGAGAACGATCGCTACGTGCTAAAGCATGGCCCGCCTATCCCCAAAATGCCGTCGGCAAGTAGTATCTGCGAAGTTAGCTGTTTATGAATACAAGTAGATGAAGTTAGTTAAATAATGTACAAATTTTCTTCACGGCATTGGTGAGAAAATAATCGTGCTCCGTAATTTTTTAATTTTCGACAAAAAGAAACATTAAAAAATGGTGAAATATTGTATTGTTCGTGGATGTGCAAGTGGTTTAGAATCTGATCGGAAAAATAGACTGAAAATGACTTTTATTGAAACAACTTAGCGATCGCAGCGCCTCACTTATTTTGTCCATATTTCTGGGACACTATTTTCTGCAGTGTCATTCTCCTTCTCTCTAACCTCCATGGATAGATTTATAAGGGGGATAATTCCACGCTTGACAACCGCAATTTATTATTTTCTAGTAGTTATTAAGATGACGTTGCAGTTCATCTCCTAGTTTATTTTGTTGCACTGGATATTCTTACGCCTTATTGACTGTCTCGTTGATCTAGTGGTTGTAGTAGTGCGACTGCTGATCATGAGGTCCTGGGTTCAAATCCCGGGTCGGGCCAAAAAATGAATAATTGAGTTTTTCTGTCAAGAAATTCTCAGTAGCTGCCCGGAGTCAGGAAGTTGGCGGTGTCTCACCCCCGTGCCTCGGAAAGCACGTAAAGCCGTTGGTCCTGCGCCTGTTCTCTCTCCCAGTCGTGTCGGTTTACCGTCCCATCGGATTACGAGAGTGAGGAAATAGAGAATGCAACTGTGCTTGCGCATACACTTGGGCACTATAATCCTGTCCTGCGCCAATGGTTAGTCCCCGTTGAGGCTGGCCGCCGTGGCCAAAATTCGGTCAGGTGGACATTATTATTATTATTACGCCGTAACTGTACATAACTTACAGGTTTAAATAAAATTTATAGCAATTACTCGCCAATTATCTACTATTAAATCATTCCGTAAACAGTCAGGTTTGGCGTAATTACCGAGCTTGACAGGTGGATATATTACTGTACTAGACGTCTCGCAGTACCTTCTGTTTCTTGTCACCGGCCTTAGATCTTACATTTAGCATTTAATATGAGATAATTATGTCATCTATCGAAGACCATTAATCTTTTTTGTCATTTTCCGGTCACCTCTTACGACACTTAACAGACATAAACAATTCTTTACAACTTTTTAACATTAAAGGCAGACAGAGAGTTGTCAACTTCACGGTAAGAGCTACTTCAGGTGATATAGGTACACCTATTAACTTCAAACAAAGAAAGCTACGAGTAATATGTTACCTTTGGGGTCTTAGATGGAGTGCCTCACTGTCTGTACTGGCTCTCCTCCACACCCTAACCATTCCATCACCTTTCGACGAGGTACCAGTTCGAACTCACGTGGAATGTGGAAGTAATTTATCACCAAGTACCCTGTGTTACAATCGACGGTAACCACTGAATTGAGCCGCATGTTCATTTGCCTCTTTTGATACAAAATAAATTATACACCCCAGAAATCGTGATCTGCACACAAGGAATTGCTCATGTATCATGCAAGCATTTTCAACTATATATCAGAGCCTATAAAAACTCACTACTGAACATATGCTCTTACAGTGTAAAATAGCAGCTTAATACTGCTGTGTTTAGTATGGTGAGTTTAGAGAACCGGAGACCCTTTTTACTGGGAACGACGCATTTCATCTTAGACCTCAGGGATGACAACGCATTTGCATTTGGATTCTTAATCGAAGATAAATGTAGATGTTTACAGGTCACAGCATCCACTTACCATTACCAGTGGACTGTGTTCGTTTATCACTGTAACTTTATTAAAAAACACCATAATCGCGCACATAAAAAATAACGTAATAGTTCTTTTTCATCTTTCAGATCGCACGCATTAACTTCGCAATAGGCATGCTACCAGCAGCATTTGAAATTTGCGCTGGTTCTAATATGATGGAAGCTAGTGTCGGCACTGCGAAAATAGTGATCGATATAGGAAGCTGTTCGGCGTCATCAATATATTCATCGCTTATTTCCATAAACTGAAGATAGACATTAAATTGTTGAAAACATTTTCATAACGTTTTGTGCTAATAAATTTGTTTTTTTATTTATTTATTTCTGACTCTCATTCTTGATATGATGAACGAATAAAAATAACAGTAATAAAAACTATTAACCGTTCCACAATCCCATAAAAAATACCACTTGGCTCGTCATTTCAAGCCTCACACGTAGGCACATTGCTGAACATGGGCCCATGGGCCCGTCCTCCCAAAGCCCTCCCAAGGAATGCCTCAAAACGCGGTCCTGAACGATCTGCCTCAATCGACTATTAGCATTTCTTACCAGCTTGTCACTTCATTGCACTCGAGAAACTGTCTTTCCTACCTTCCATCGATGTCGGTTCTTCGAACTATATGGCCCATTACCACTTAAGCTGAATGATCCTTATGATTTTACAATTAATACAACTCTTGAAACATTGTATGTAAAGTGAAGTACAAACATAGATAAATCAATCTAAATCAATATTTTGATGTAACTTGGGATAGTCTGATAATAGCACAAAATAAATACTATATCGTCCCCAATAAGTTTTATAAATAAACATTTGTTTATTTAAATCCAACTTCAAGAAATCTAGATATAAAAGGACAGGTGACCTGGAACATTATTCTGTTGGTTTTTAAAAATCAAAGGCTCTAGAACTGTTGAGTTATTAAATATGCGTTACATATTGTTACTATTATTTCTGATTATATGGTATCAGGTAAGTAATTAACTTTTTTTTTTAAAATACGTACCTAGTCCATTTTCGAAATCAATTTTAAAAAACTGAATACCTATTATAATAATGTCTGTCTTATATTCAAATTAAAAAACCGAGGTTTATCCGTCGTTTCTAATTACACTAACAAAAGCAAAAACAATACGTTCTACTTTTTAGGATACACACGGTTATGAAAAAATTAACAACGATATAAAAAATGGACAAAATCAACCAAGAGAATTTCGAGCCTTTCCAGATTTGTGGAATAGCGTAAAAAAGAGCGCTGCAAATACATGGGAAACCTTGAAATTAATGACAAACCGTACAGGAGAAAAAATAAAAGAATGGTTTAAAAACATAAAAATTAGGGCAAAAAAGGCTCATGAAAATTTTAAAAATAGAATCCAGAAAATGCAAGAGAATATAAAGAACATCATTGAAGAGTTTAAAGTTACGGGTCAAATTGCGAAAAAATGTATTCAAGTAAGTCATATCAAAAGCTATAATATAAAAAAATTACGATCAGTGGTTATTTAAACATGCTGTATTTTTCTTACGACGTGTTGGCAGCAGCGTAAGAGAATCCACTACTTCATATCATCTCGTGGGTGTCGTAAAAGGCGACGGAGGGTAACTGATACAGGAGATGGGCAGCAGCATATTCCTGATAACAACCGAAAGTAATAAAAACCGGTGTTACCAACCTGCCTGATAAGCGTGGCAACTACGGCAAGTATCCCCCAAGAAGACATTTGTGGCAGATGTAATGATAATAATGATAATTTAAACATGAAAAATTGTATGTACATTTTTAATGAATTTTCTTACAAAAACTTAAACAAAATTGCATTACGGAAGGAAAATGGCTAATTTCCACACAAATTTTTGTTGACATTTTTTTGTTGTGTGTACCAATTAAAAATATATCAAAATATAGAGTTTGAAATCCTAAACATTTTTTCTTCAGTCGTATTACTGCAAGAAGTCAGGAATAAAAGATATTCCAGTTTGAATGAAATTCACATCATTCTGGGCTGTATGGTATAATATATTTTCCTGCTTTAATTGGTAAAATGTTACAACTATTGAAGTGTAGACGTAGACAGAGAAACCTGTAGACTAATGATTAGCGTGGCCTCGAGTGAGAAAGGACGATAACGTAGTTTTAGGTTATACAATTATCTTTATGATTTTTAAACATATTTAGGTAAAATTTTTAATTGTTATAAGAACTGAACTAAACAAGATTCACCAATCTAAAGCTCACAAAACACTTTTTTCTCACATAAACCAACTTGTAAACTCCTTAGATCGCTACGAACTGTCAAAGTTGTTTAGCAAAGTGTAGTTTCTAAACAAAAAAACCGACACGGAGAAAGGGACAAACAATCACACCACTCTGTCTCATTTCTATGCGATACGTATGCATAAATCTATCTTTTTCGTGTGCGAATGCGAAAGAAGGCGTCAATTTGTCTATAGGTTTCTCTGTCTACGAAATAATACGACTTACCTAATTAAATTAACATTTGTCAAATAAATCAGCCAGTACGATCTTGGACAAAATAAATACGATCATATTAGCTTTTTTATTTAGTAGAGTAAAAAGAGACCAAACATGACTACTTGACATTTCTTTTTTCACACATGTATTATACGCAACATCTTTGAATATATGTATTTGTCACTTTTTGACTTATTTGAAAATTAAATTAGAAAAAACAAGACAAGTATATTAACTCAATTTATGTAGAATTGTAGGTTCTCTCTATGCATACGTATGTATGCAATTGCAATAAGATAAAAATACGTAGAGTAACTGACTTTTGTTTAGACCACAGGATAGAAAATTTCGTATAGATTCTATAATGCCAAACTTCTTCATAGAAAAGTAGTCTCTAAATATAAGTGTGTAAAAGTGCTGTGGGTGGGTGCGGTCGGACGGCGGAAAAATGTCCGCAGGAAAGCGCTAAATAAGGGTGGTGCTACTGTAGTTAGTGTCCAAATTTTAAAGAATTTTTTATATTTTTTTTATTGCACAGACTTTTACCATAGTTCTTTTTACAATAATTATTTTATTGCTTTCAAAATTTTTATTTTCAAAATCACTCAACGTATTTTACGGCGATTTATCATACCCTGTAGCTGTTGTGGAGAGTTTTTGAACTGTTATTTACTGTTTACGAATGGACACATTTTCAACTATTCTCCTATGGGAGATTGTCCTCCTTACCTCTATACTCCATGGTTACAACACGTAATTTTAGAGAGAACCCTGAATTTTAGAGAGAACACATTAGTTACATTGAAGTTTTGTGAATAATAAACATCAGACTAGACTGTATGGTATGTATAAGACATGCCTGCCTCAATTAGCGAAACGTAACGACTGCAGCACAGATCACTATTTATATATATATATATATATATATATATATATATATATATATATATATATATATATATATATATATATATACAGGATGTTAGTGTAAACACCGTTGTCCTTGAAACCAGTGGTTTGGTTTCACTTATGGAACGTGAATTCAATGAATTTAAAAAATAGACGCTATTTTCTTTCATAAAATTTAAAAAGTTTCAGTCCGACACCGTCCGTAAATTCATGGATACCCTATGCGCCCGAGTGACGAAATCACTGTAAAGATCACCGCCCGCGCTAGCTACCTACACAACATTCAACATAAAAACACAATAGCTACAAATAACCTGCGATGTAACTTTTCCTTCATACTTTCATCCTGGCTTAGGACAAGCAAAAATTGAGGAATTAAGGAAAAATTGAGATTTTATAAAAAAAAGTTGTTATTTTTCATTGAATTTACGTTCTATAAGTGAAATATTAAACCATTGGTTTCAAGGACAACGGTGTTTACACTAACATCCTGTATATATAAGACTGTGGTGCCACGGCTAATTTCTTTCGTGAAACGGATTTTATGATGATTTTTTCAAACTTCGATAGGCCATAAACTTGATTAGTTAATACATAGTAAATTATTTAATTGATATCTGTAATGAAGACGTAACTATGGAGTGTAGAGGTAAGGAGAACCAACTCTATAAAAAAGTGTCCGTGGGAAAGCGCTAAATAAGGGTGGCGCCGCTATAACTAGAGGGTAAGTATTAAAGAAAGTTTTATAATTTCTTATTGCACAGTCTGTCACCTTAATTCTTTTTTATAATTATTTTCATGTTTTCAAAATTTTTATTTTCAAAATCACTCTCAACGTGTTTCACGATGACTTTTTCTGGGTTATATTTACTAAATTATTTTAGACATCGTGAGTAGTGTAGGTTTTAAATACTGCAGTTTTATCAACTACTATAGGTAGTCACCACAAATATTTAATTCCACAACTCAGCACACTTCACTCCGTCGACAACTACTAAGTATATTTCATACCCTCTAGCTACACTAGTGCTGTTGTAAAGAGTTTTTGAACTGTTATTTACTACTTACAGATGGATACTTTTTCAACTATTCTCCTATGTGATATGGTTATCCTTACTTAAATACTCCATGAGTAGACGCTTAATAACTCCATCCACAATTTGCTACAATAGCTAGTCAATTTAGTTTTAGATATACATAATTCTATCAACAATTTTTCGCCATTGTGCTTAAATATGTGTATGTTTGTAAATAAACTTATGATGGATATTCTAAGTCTATAGTTATTAGTTATTACGATGTAATAGTGCATTTTTAAAAAACTATTTTAAATAAAATTTTATTGCAGAATGAGCAGAAGGCGATCAATGAAATCTTAAAGGAGATAATAGAAAATGTTTCTACTTGTATATCAAAAAGTTTTCATGCTCTGTCTCTCCTGGAGTCATCTACTAGCGCACATGTATTACTTGATAAAACTGAATATATCACTAACGTAGAGAACAAACTATATCAGTGCCTTGATAACGAAGATGTTGAGGAATGTTACAACAATGTGAGGAAGAGTGCCTATGATAATTTAGAACGTGAGGAAAAAGAAATACTTCAAAACGTAAGTCAGCATTAGAGATGAAACAGATATCCGGTATTCGGCCTATCCGTCCTAAAATTACTATCCGGCCAGATACCGGACTTTAAAAAAAACACAATATATCAAATTTAGTTAAGTACTTCATTTATGTCACTTAACAAATATAATCAGTAATCACAAAATTTTCATTTTTAAACTTACTAAATTAGTACTCTTACTGCGCTAAGGCACAGAATAAATAGTAGTACTACGTAGCTAAGGGCAAATTATGGTGAATAAACACCAATTCCTCTGCATTCATAAACAAGGCCAGCTTTAGAAAAAAGTCTTTCACTGTACACACAGCTGCAAGGTACTGAAAGATAGATTTTGGCAAACTTTGTTAAATTTAGGTATTGTGTAGCAATATCTCCCACCAAATATAAGGGTCACGATCGCGAACAGTTTGCACTGACTTTACTTTTCGCTTCTTCCGATGCTCCAAACGGCAATGTTCGGCAGAATGTCCGGCGGCCGGATATCTGGCGATAAAACTGGCCGAATATCCGGTATCCGGCCAAATAACTCTCCATTTCATCTCTAGTCAGCATTTTTACTCTTAAGAACAGAATAGAATAAAATAGTTTACATGTACAGTGCATACGGATGAAGAACGGGATTAACAATGGTAGCTCATCGAGCCCGTACCGTCAACATGCACAGTTAGAGATAACCAGCTAATAACGGTATATCGTTATAACGTTATATTATACGGTTAGTTGGAAAATTTCTCTTAGTGGGAAAATATTTGAAAAGAATTTTATGCATGTAGGTAGATTGATTTTAAAATAGTATTTATAACTAGCGATCCGCTCTGGCTTCGCTTGTGGGAGATTTGTTAATGTGACGTTATATTATGTTATAGACTTAAGATAATCATTAAAGACCATTTATTTTACCGTTAGCATGAACACGCGTGACCTTTTGAAAATATTTCTATCTCAATCAAAATTTCTAGATCACTCCTGATTATTCTCTATTTTTTTAAAGTTTTATTAAAATATGATCTACCATTTAGATGTTTAGCTTGGATAGACAGACACGAAAATTTTGAAAACGGTTACTTGTGTCTCAGTAGCATGCAAATATTTAATACAAAAATATTAACGAACAAAATCAACAATAAATATATTGAAAACTTTCAAAACGCGCCGGAGCTCACAAATAAGCGAAACCGGACCGAATTTTGTTGTTGTTTACGGCATTTTGTTATCATTGATTCTAATGACAAGTTGGACTGAAGTAATAGAACGTACGAAAAACGCATATCGCAACGTATTTTTTCGCGATCTTTGCCGGCGGGTGCGAGTATAGATAGCGATTGTGCGCGAGCAAAAGGTGAATAGAGGTGGAGGCATTTTCAATCCCATTCTTTAACCGCACGGTTAGTAATCTATAAGTATTAAACCAAAGGAGGCGGCATCGCAAGGCATACCTCTCTGTCAATGGTACGAGAGTGCGACGCATACCCGTTATATAAAACTAGTTGCTCCGCGTCGTGCGCCATTCTGCAAGTGATCGTGCCGGTCAATCGAGCTCCGACAAAAATGCCGAACTGCAGTGTATTTTCATTAAAAAACACTCAAAAACGTCAAATCTACAAAAGAACGTGACTTTTGATCTGTAAATATTTTTAATATGAATACTTTTTTTATACTTTTTTTAAACGTTACACTAAGATTTTCTCTTGTATCGTATGGGCAGTTTACAAACATAAATTGCACAAGGACAAACATCCAGACCCGGAGCAACTATTTGTAGGCCATACATACGTTCCGTGCGGGATTCGATCCCGCGACCCCCATCGCAGCCACTCATTGCTAAGCCACTGCGCCACGGAGTCGTCAATACATTACACAGCACACATAGGTGAAGAATCTGTTCATGGATAGCAATCTTTAAGACATTCCAGGCAACACTAGATCTTAATTTCCTCTGTAATATCACCAGAAAGCGCTGTTTGCAACATCCGGAGTTCGGCTGAATTCTGCTTACTTCATAGTGTCTTCACCAGCAAGAGTCTTGCTGCTGTGCTGTGTGTCTTAATCAAAGCACAATAATACATGTTTTGTTACAATTCAAAACTTTCTAATGTGCTGGTCCGTTTTCTAACAGCTTTTTGAGGCCACAGCTGATCTCATTGTTCCAGGTGATGAATCAATGTCAGCTTCTCTAAAAACTGTTTTTTTTCCATCCTGCTATTATTGTCCGTGATGCCGGTTTAATCACTTCAGTAATTGTTATAAATAGAGACTCTAAATCACTGACTTATTTCCTTCTAGATTGTGAAAATTATCTTTATAATGTTTTACCAGACAAATTTTATCATCTGAATGAGTGGATAGGCACCACCTAGATAATTGTTTCTTCACATCTTGCCAGTCTTTTATCATATCACTCCACCCCCAACTAACCAGGCCTGTAGGTCTAGTTGATCGAATTGAGGCTGATGGGTCCCCGTGGACTGATCTATTAAAACCTTCCGAAGGTTGGTTATCTATATTGGATCTTCCAGGGCTCTAGTTTGGAGGTCTGCTTTCCAAAAACATCATTTCCAGGTTGGGACTATTAGGACATATTTTCTAAGCTTACGTAGTTTGAGACAACTGCTGTTTGGGATGAAGCGAACAAGTCTACTTCCGGTATTCCCCACTTTTTGAATAATGCCTCTGTGGCTTTGGTGAGAAGGTGCCATTCTGGAACCTGACGTTTTCTTGACAAGTGGTCTGCAATATTGTTGTACCTCCCCGGGAATTAACAGGCCAACAGTGTTACCTTTGGCTGGTCCGTTAAGAGCAGAAGTTTGATTGTGAGATTTAGTAGCAAAACGGACTTTGTACCGCCTTCCTTTCTTATATATGCTACTAATGTCAGATTGTCTGTCTGGACTAATATGTGTGCATCCCTTAAGTGGTCTTTGTGACATTTTATTTCAACGTATATATACTGCAGACATTTTCTTTATATTGGAATGCCACAGCCTCTGATCTTTCTTCCATCTTCCTGATAGGTTTATACCGTTTAGGTTTATTACCGTTAGGAAATGGGTGATGCTTTTTTTTGTGTATTGAGGTTGAGTAGTTTTTAGAGCTGATAACCACTATTGAACTTCTCCGAGAGCTTCTGGTAGAATCACTTTTTTTAGACGTGGTCGAGTTTATCTGAACTGCTTCAAAAACCTCTTAACCTCGATAAATAATATGGTTTGCAAAATTTAGATGACCTAGTCTCTGAATTTCTTTCAGTGTACATTTTTCTTTTACTTTTAAGTCTGAGAGAATCTTCTGTATGGTTAGTATTTTTTTCTAGGCTAGACTCATTATGTCCATATCTGTGTTCCATTTTAAGCCTAGATATTCTAGACTCTGGCATTGGTTCCAAGATGTCCTTGGAATAATTTAGATGCCATCCTAATTGTTCCAAGATTTACGGTTTCCGCAACCTGAACCTTTAATTTGGATCTGTTGTTGACTAACAGATTGTTGTCTAAGTACAACAAGATCCAAAATCGTCGCGCCCGTAGGACCTCCGCGGTCCAATTTGTTATGGCTGCAAAGGTTTGAGAAGCTGAAGGCAGTCCAAAAGGGTGCGCAGCGAGTTGCAAAATGTCTCCGTTGTAAATTATACTTAAAAATCGTGTGTGCCCTTGCAATAGGACAGCAGGTGGAAATATGCTTGTGACAAATCTATTTTTGTCATCCAGTCCTATTTTGGTCGAAGAAGTTTTGGAGGAATTCTGAGCATGTTGTTTGCGATACCAACTTGAAATGTTTTGTTGCTACATGGGTATTAAGAGACCTTTTTAACAACAACCATCTTGCAAAAGAAGCCCGGGTTTAAAGTTTCTGGTTTTTCTAATATTTCCTGGTCTTTTAAATTCTGTATTAAGTCTGTCATTTGCATTGATATTATTGTAGCATATTTCTTCTGTACTATGCTAGATGGGTAGTATAGTGGGTGTTTGCTTTTGAATAGTCACCTTTTAATTTTTTTTATGAATTATTTGCATTTAACTGTTTGTTTATTTGGAAATCTCAGACATACCCCTTTGACCTATCTTTGATTGTCACTAATTGTTTCCAGAACGAAAACTCTTATGTTTAGTGAAGCTTTTCTTCTTAATAGTTTTGTCAGGCTTGTTTTGATTATCAGCCTCCCTGTAATTATTATTAGAATATGTTTTTTTGTTGTGAAGATATCTATGTTGGCCTTCTTGAACTCTATAAGAGTTCGTGCCACTAGTATTTATTAAGGGTTTTCTTTTTCTTCATATAAGATTGAATCAAGGGTTGCAAAGCTTCCATGCTAAATAAAAATTTGTCACTAGGTGGCGTTTTTTAAACGGGGTTTTTAAAAATTTGATGAATTGGGGGAATTTCAATACATTCCGTCCTTTTTCCACATAAAATTCGCATAATTTTGTCTGAGTTTTTGTTAATAGGTGAGTGTGGCCCAAAAAGTTCATAAACTTGATAAAAAAGGGTGTTAGCATTTAGGTTAGTACTATTAGATGAAGCCCAGTCAACTAAATTTCGAAGACCTTTTTTTAGTAACACTTTTTGTTCTAACACAGCATTTGAGAGGCCAGCTACAACTCGTTCAGTTGATGCTATGTACTTTTTAGTAGTATAATAACTAGCATTAAAAAATTTATAAATATTTCTCTAAATAAAAATTTTAAAACTTTTGATTGATAAAACCTGCATATTTTCTGGGACTTTGTAGTAAAAGCGAATACATTGAACCATGAAGGAATTGCTGACTGGTGTCGAGTAACTGGTATAACTAACTTGTGCTTGTTCTTAATACATATTTACAAAATGCACATCACTATAGTTTTTACTCCGCGTAGGATCTACAAGTATGCCGTTATTTATATTTAAGATAAATTATTTATTCTTAACATCAACAACACAACCATTTGAATATTTTTTTTTCTAATTCACAAAACATCCTCCAAGTTTTTCGAATAAAACGCAGCCTAGATCACTGTTGGCATTGCCTTCTACCTGTTTATGAATTTTCAGGACAGACAGACAGGGTCATGCATTTCTTAATGACCTACAAATAACCCCCTTAGCCCCTTTAAAGGCTATTTATTTCGCATTATTATTACAAACTGATAGACAGACACTTCAATTTCACTTATTCGTATGGACGTACCTATGGTGAAAGAACTTTCCAGGAGTATGCAAGCATATTTGCCCATATCCACTATACGCACAACCGACACATATACTTGGAATTCTGCCTTATATGCGCTGTCAAAGCGTTCTTGGTTTTAATACATTTCACGGCCTGCAAAACCCAAGTAAGAAATTGTAAAAGCCAAATGACTAACAGCACTAACATAACAGAAAATAACTATTTCTGTGTGGTACGAGTATAAGCGTTTTTGGCTTAATTTACCACAATCAAGCAATCTGTAGAATCTGGTCCGTTGATGAGTTAGCAGGGTTCACCGCGTATATATGTGGTTGGTATTTGGAAAATAACTTACATATATGTGTGTAAAGTACTATAATTAGTATACTAAAAATACTATTTGACTTATAAATAACCTCATACCGATAAGAATAATTAATAATCTTACACCGTGACGATTGAATCCCTATTTATTTTTAATTCATTTCACAGAGAGCTGACTCTAGAGCCGCCACTGATGACATTTTGGATACCATTGTTACTTGCACCAGTAATGGTCTTATAAAAGCATCTGATGCCATTGCAAACACCACTCACCAAGTTATTAAATGTGTCAAAAAGGGAGTTTAAGGGCGATCGCCAATTTCCCAGTATAATTTTATAAATTATTTTTAGTAAGTGCGAGTATGATATATATACCAAACATATTAATTTAAAATAAGTTTCATACAAAAATATATCGAAATAGATTAAACAAAAGAAGAATAATCATTTGTTTATTATTTTCATTTCTGAATAGCTAAATGGTTTTATTATTAATTATGGAATAAACAAAACTGAAATATGTTAGCGTTTTTTTAATTTAAAATAAGTACATGCATATTAAATCCTATAATCTTTAGTTACGATAACTTAGCGAGGACACATAGCATGACGACCACCATCTACGGGCAGTGTGGCACCAGTAATATTACTAGCTGCATTACTGGCTAAAAATATTATAACTGATGCAACTTCTTTACTTTCACCGGCACGGCCCAATGCATGAGTTTCAGCACACTTCCTCAAAAATTCTTCATATTGTTGCTCATTCATGCTTGATTTCATATGAATTCCAGTTGCAATTACACCAGGATTCACGGCATTAACTCTGACACCCTTGGGAGCCAACTCTAGTGCTACACACCTTGTAAACTGGTCCAAAGCAGATTTTGACATACAATATGCCAGAACGTTAGGAAATGATCGCAGACCAGTAACACTAGACACGTTTACAATTGATCCTTTCGATTTCACTAAGTGAGGGGCAGCCAACATTGTCAAATAATAAGGAGCTCGAACATTGGTGTTCATTACTCTATCATATTGTTCCAAAGTAGTCGTTTCTATTGTCCCACTTTCTAAAATTCCAGCATTATTTACGAGGACATCAAGTTTGCCAAAATGATCTAACGTATTCTTTACAATCCTGTCAACATCGGCTTCAACGTTCATGTCAGCAATTACAACCAACGGTTTATGTTTGCTTGGAGAACCATCTTTACATTGCATAGCTATTTTGTCCAAATTTTCTTTGTTTCTTCCAGTTATCACTAATTTAGCGTTAAGTTTTGAGAATTCTATTGCAGTTTCTGCCCCGATTCCAGAGCTGGCTCCAGTTATCAATACCACTTTGTCCGTAAACATTTTACCTGTATAATAAAATAAAGGTATTAAAAAAGTTTGTAAAATACAAAATTTCACGCCTCATATAACGCTATTAATTATTTTGATTATTATTTTGAAGAAAATAAAATTGTATTCCTGATTACTAAATTATATTATTTACCTACAGGGAAAAAATAATTAACCTTTCAATCCCCATAAAATTCCCATGCAGTCGCATGCGTCCGTCAAATCACGAGCGGGCGCATGCGACCGCACCCACTCACAGCACTTTAAATCATTAAAACTTATAATTAGAGACTATTTTTCTAAGAAGAAGTTTGGCATTAAGAATTAATACAAAATTCTCTTCTATACTGTGGTCTAAACAAAAGTCAGTTACTCTATGTATTTTTATTTATATTCTACTGTCAATTTACGACGTATTAAACCATAAAACACACCACTTTAAACCATAAAAACTTACATTTATAGACATCTTTTCTATAAAGAAGGTTGACATTATAGAATCTATACAAAATTCTCGGATTTTATTTTTAATCCACCGTAAAATTGCGCCATTTTCGTATAGTCGGCAAATGTCGTAAATTGACAGTAGAATAAAAATAAAAATCTCAGAGTAATTACTAGCATCGTAGACAGAAAAACTCATAGACTAATGATTAGCGTGGCCTAGAGTGAGAAAGAAAAAAACATGGTTTTAGGTTATACAATAATCTTTAAGACTTTTAAACATATTTAGATAAAATTTTTTATTGTTCTAAGAACTGAACTGTACAAGATTCACCAATCTTAAGCTCACAAAACACTTTTTTCTCACCTAAACCAACTTGTAAACTCCTAAGATCGCTACGAACTGTCAAAGTTCACAAAAAAAAACCGGCACGCAGAAAGGGACAAACAATCACACCGCTCTGTCTCATTCCTATACAAGACGTATGCATAAACCTATCTTTTTTGTGTACGAATGCGAAAGAAGGCGTCAATTTGTCTATAGGTTTCTCTGTCTACGACTAGCATAGTCTTAAAAACAGAACAAAATCTCATGTAACTGAACACTTTACGCATATGACATTTCCTACAGAATAAAAAAGACAGTTATATGAATGTCACCATCTCCTTTAAAAGGTTGTAGACGTTTTTTTATATACCATACACAGTTCTAGTGATAGTAACTATAGAAAAGAACAGCCTTATTTAACCTTTTGAGCGCCACGCCAAAAACTCACTACCGTGTCCTGTACGCCAAAGCGAAAAGTAAACAAAAATACCTACGAAAAAAACAGTGCTGCCAAGAGTTGATATATCGATAACACAAAATAACTTGTTTTTGTTGGTTTTTTATACAATAAATGACTCTTTATAATCGGGTATGTTTTATTTAATCTTGTGCTGTCTTCCACTCTTTTTATATATGTACTTTGTACATAAATAAAAAACAAACAATAACAATAAAATAGTAGTAAACCACAACACTACTCTCCATCGTGATGACGTCACTGTCACGACTGGACGACAACGGCGTAGCTGACCTTTCTTTTTGAAACTTTCTTAGAGATGTAGCCGTGTCGCACGTTGTGAATCGATTTCAAAATCGATCTAACCAAAATATACAGACATCGATTCAAAATATTTTATGGCAAGGCGTAGGCCAAGTGAATCACAGAAGAAAAGTCTTACGCTCTTATGATGAAGGGGGTTTTATATGATGCTGATGTTGCTAAATGATTTTGAGATTGAGAAAGAAAATCGCACAACACAAAATGGAAAATTGCTCTTCATACCTTAAGTAAAGAAACACACATTTATTATTTGTAATTTTATATTATTAAAATAGAAAAGGTACATAATTATTCACTATAGGTAATTATTCGCACTAGGAAAATCAGTCTAATAATATTAAAATCTTGGTCATGGAATAAAAATCAGTAATTATTATAAAAATCAGCAAATGGTACATAATTATCCACCAATCAACAAATGTATATAATTATTCGCACTAGGGAAATCAGTCTTATAATATTAAAATCTTGGTTATGGAATAAAAAAATCAGTACTTATTACAGAAATCAACAAAGGGTACATAATTATTCACTAATCAACAATTGTAAATAATTATTTGCACTAGGTCTAGTCATAAAATATTGAAATCTTGGTCTTTAACTCCATCAGTACTTAATATAGAAAACAACAATTAAAAATAATTAATAAATTATAGGTAATATTAGTCTTAAAATAATAAAAATCTTATGGAATAATAAAATATAGGTGTTTAGCTGTCCAAAGCAAATTTTCTAACGTGGTAGAGCCATGCTGCAGTTATATTACGGGAGAGTAGTTGTAGCACGAATGGGTCGGCTCAACCGGGGAAGAACCACGCTCTCACGGAATATCGGCGTGAAATAGTAGCTTAATGCTGCTGTGTTTCGTACGGTAAGTGTAGAGAACCGGAGACCCTCTTTACTGGAAACGAGGCATTCCATCTAAGTCCTCACGGCTGAGAGCGCATCTGCATTTTGATTCGTAATCGAGGATAGATGTAAATGTCTATGGGCCACAGTAACCACTTACCATCAGGTGGACTGTGTGCTCGTTTATTACGCTATGCTATAAAAAAGAAATTAACCGTAAAAAAGACTATAAAGTGTATTCCTACCTCATTGAGGTAGAGTTAATCGAAAACGAAAAACTTTGTTTTCACGATAATTTTAAATTTCCGAAAATTCATCATCGTCGACGCTTTCCAAAATCCGAATGAGTTCTGAGGAATCGTTCATGTTGCACTGCACTAATTTTCCCACTAATCGCTTATGACGTCATCAGCGTGTCGTCTATACTTGACCACGGCGCCCAGTGAACTGATTTTCGATGTCGCGCTAGGGATGCGCCAGAGTTGAGATGTTAGATTTATTATGCGAAGATAATTTAATTTTTTTTAAATTCATGTAGCTAATTACAGTTTTGTATTTCTAACCTTTTGTTTTATTTAAATATCAATAATAATAGAAAAAAATAACACGTTTGAGCTTAATTTTGAATAGTTTTCAATAAATTTATGCCTAACGCATTACAACACTAGCGGTCTAACATAGACGACTTTGGCGTGCTGGGCATAGTATTTGCTTAGATAAAGATCCATTTTTTTTTAGTTCAATGTTTCTTAGTACTTGTGGCTCTAGGAGACTTGTTTTTTATACTCACATGTTGCTGGGTTATTCTTTTTTTGAGGGGTGTAGAATTAAAATACCAGTAATAATTTTCCAATGTCTATATTTCATATTTTTGTGGGCCGAGTTTTTTGTCTTCTATAGACGTCGTTGGCGCTCAGGGCACGCGGGTGCTGGTCACGTATAGACGACTTTGGCGCTCAAAAGGTTAAAGGTGATCTCTGAATATTTCAAGGAAATGTCTCGGTGGCACTTTGAGAGCGCTGAATGCGTGAGACCCGCTAGTGGTAAACGTAGTAACCTACGCTCCGACTCAAAACGTTAAGCAAAGCCTTCGGAGATCCCGCAACGTTTTAACGAGTGCGCTGCAACCCCTGTGTGCAGCACACACACCGCGTACACACCGTACATCTCACCGCCCAGAACATCAAACGACACGAGTTACACGTCACAGCCGGGGCCCGCCAATCCCTGTCCGGCAGAAATGACAGTCGCACTCTTTTCCTTGAATTTTAAAATAAAAGAGTGAGGAGACAACGTGTGTACTAAGTGAAGTAGAAACACCGAAAGAAGAGGAAAGAGGTAGCGAGATAAGTATAGATGAAATAATGAAAGCAATGAAAAGCATGAAAGCAGGTAAGGCTGCCGGATATGATAGGTTTCACTCGAAGTGCTAAGGGCTGGAGAGGAAGTGGTGGCAGGCCTGCTGCACACGTATGCTGTATATGTTTTATCTATGGTTCAATAAAACTCAGCATTTTAATAATATTGCTTAACGTTTTCAATAAATATTAATTT